ATCTCAAACCAGCCCAAACCACATTTTCTTTTCTTTTCAGCTGCCTGCAATTACCTGGAATGGATATTTCAGCAATTTTAGACATGGGACCACAACAGGTATGTCCACAGCTTCACCCCTTATGGCTGCACATCCACACGCATCCTCAACACCCCACTCCAAGCCTATTATTTTTTTCCTGTGACAGCCCAGGTTTGCTGTCAGAGCCTGGAAATTAGTCTTGATTTTTAAAAACCACATTAACCTTCATATTACCAAGGTGGGTCAGGCAGATCTCATCTCCCATGGTGGGTGATGGGGTGTTCAGCTGCAGCCGTTGCCCAGTTTGGGTGACTTTCGGAAGATGAAACCTTTGTAGTGTGCTCGTGAGTTTGGTTTTTTTTCTAATTTTTCTTTTTCTGAAAATCAGACTCCAAAAATAGGAAGCTCTTCAAATTAGTCACCGTTTCCTGTAATCTGGGCTGCAGCTGCCTCATTGCTGATGCTGGTCTGCAGTCCTGGGCGGTGGCTGACCACATGGCTCTCACCCTTCTTGGTCAGCAGGGTTTCAACCCATGCCTCATCTCACCCAGGATCGACTCCAGCAACATCCTTCTGACTAAATCTCTACCTCTACCTCTAATCTTGATTCAGGAGTTGATTCTGGTGCCTATACATCCTTACCTTTGACAGGGCTTTGAGCATCCTGGTCTAGTGGAAGGTATCCCTGCCCATGGCAGGGGTTGGACTGGATGATCTTTAAGGTCACTTCCAACCCAAACCTTTACATGATCCCATGATTTCATGATGCTTTGATTTCATATTTTCCACTTACCAATATTTCTTGCAAGTATCCATGGCTTTATATCCTAGAATTGGCACAGAGAAGGGTCGGTGTCCTACCAGGAGCAGTAAAATGTTCAGCATTTCACCTCTGGGAGCAGCCCCATCAACTTAAAGGTGCTGGTGGCAGGTTCTGCTTCACCAAAAATTGAGATGCTGCTTTCTCAGTAGTGACCAGGGTGAATCTAAGGCAGCTCACAGTGAGGTATGGTGATTTCCCATAATTTAGAGCAGAAACTTCCTGAAAAGGTTGCAATGGCATCAGGAGGAAGTGGTGAGTTATGTCAGAGGAGACCATGCTCATTTACATTCAATTTGAATGTGTTCGAGTAAGGAAACCAGAATTATTTGTTAGTATGTGTAGATGGCTGTCCCCACGCTGTAGGCAAAGCCCAAGGAGAGCAGAACACAAAATACTTACCAGAAATTTAAACCTATAACCTAGAAGAAAACTCTTTGTGATGTGATGTTTGCCTTTCCTGTATGGACTCGAACAACATTTTGATCCCCTTTGCTTCTCCTTTATTCCTAGACAGCCACTTGTCAAATACAACTTCAGAGGTGGCAACAACAACCGCTGCCACCTTGCTGGATGCTGCTTATTTGAGCGAATACCCATACGAGTACTTGGACGAGGAGGATTACATGCAGTATGGCCTCTGCACAAAAGAAGAGGTGCTCTCCTTTAGCAGAGTATTCTTGCCATCTTTTTACACCGTGGTCTTCATGGTCGGGTTGGCTGGGAATGTCCTCCTGTTTGTTGTCCTCATCATGTGCATCAAGAAGAAAAAGAAGTTGACCGAGGTGTATCTGCTGAACCTAGTGGTTTCAGACTTCTTCTTGCTACTAACCCTTCCTTTCTGGGCTCTGTACACTTCTCAGTGGCTGACCTGGGACATATTGTGCCCGGTCTTAAATGCCATGTACACGGTGAATTTCTACAGCGGTATCTTTTTTGTGAGCTTCATGAGTCTGGACATGTATCAGCAGATAGTTCATGCTTGCTCACCTCACAGCTCCATGACGCAGAGGAAGTCCATGCTCGTCTTGTTGGTGGTATGGGTCGTTTCTGTACTTCTGTCCATTCCCGATGGCCTCTTCAGCAGCACAAGGCAAATCTACAACAAAACCATGTGTGCCCATGATTACGGCCAGAAACACTTATTTTGGAAAGTTGTCTTTCGGGTCATTCAGAATGTTCTGGGCTTCCTTTTCCCCTTCCTCTTCATGGTGTTCTGCTATTCCCGTATAGCGTGTGTCCTCACCACAACTCGGATGCCTGGCTCGAGGAGAGCGCTCCGCTTAGTCTTTACTCTGGTGGGCGTCTTCTTTGTCCTGTGGTCCCCTTACAACGTTGTCCTCATCCTTCACTCCTTGCAAGATGTCGGTGTGATCAGGAGCTGTGAAAGCAGTAGGCAACTGGACTATGCCATGCAGATCACGGAGAGTTTGTCCTTTGTCCACTGCTGTCTCAACCCCTTGCTCTATGCTTTTGTGAAGAAACGATTCAGGTTGTATTTATGGAAGATCCCTCGGGCCATTTTTGGGAGAAGCGCTTTCTTTGACATCCAGCCCTCAGAGTCAAGCCAGTCTTGCACCAGACACGCAGCTGAGATAGAAATGTTGAGTTTCACAAATGCATGAGAAATATTTCTGTTATTTACATTATGTGTATGCCCTCCATGCTGTATTTTACTGGTCCTGGTCATGTGGTGGAGTTGGTGTGAACTCACAGCACTGCACAACCAGATATTCAATCCTAGCACCAGCATTGAGATGAGGATTTTCTACCTTGGGATTGGAAAAGTTTGTGTAGGATTTCTTTCTGTAGTAACTGGAATTATTATAAAGGATTGCCCTGGATTTATACTCATGGAAAAAGCCCAGCTCCTGCTTAGAGTATGTGAGGCATTAGTGGATGAAGCAGCAGCTTATCTAGATGTTGTGCCCTTAAAAATGTAAACTGAAACTTGTGAAGAACTTCTCCCCCATAGATCCCAAAGGGTCTCATGGAGGAGAGCGATCCCATTATCCCTCCAGCTTGTGATGGGGGATGGATTTGCCATGCTCATCCATCAGGCCAGATGTGGGTGCCCAGAAGCCCAGCCTGGGGGGTGATGTTGCTTCTCCTGGCTTTTGCCATCTGCCAGGTGGATGTGTTCACCCGGGTCCATCCTTCTGTCTACCAGGAGAGGCAATAGGAAGAATTAGGCACCTTTCAATTGGGTTGTCTGACCAATGATGGGCTTCTCTGTTACACTTAGGTCTGCTGAACAGGAACCTATGTCTCTCCGAGGGACAGATCCTTGGTTGGAGATCAGTTCAATCACCAGCTGGTTTGAGATCAGTTCAATCAGCAATAAAGTTCAAACCAGTAACAACCACTGAGAAAGAGACAAAAAAAATGGGCTTAGCAGAACAGTGGTGGAGGTATTTGCCTTCCCAAAGATCCATTTTGACAAGACCCTTTTGAAAAGGGTCTGTGGATACCTTATTAAACATAAATATTGGCTTTGAACAGCAGAGCACGGGATAGCTCTTAGCCAATCCTTACTACCCAGAGCAGATTTGAAGTTCAAGGTTATTCGTTTGCTGACCTTTATTAAAAGGTATTATTCACCCCAAATACTCCTGAACCTTAAATGGGAACTTTCCAGCCTGGAAACCTGCTGAGCATAGGAGTTGCTTAGAATTGTACATATAAAATTAATAATTTAAGAGAAAACTCTCATCACCCTAATTTTGTTGCTAGACAAGGCTACTGGAGCGAGGAGGGCTTTGAGTTGATCTAGAAAGGTGGATTTGTTTTCACTGCTGTCATTTTTCTTGCCAACATTGCTACAACATGTTTCCAGAATGGTAAGGCTGGGAGCTTTCCTTAAAAAAAAGCCAGAATAAATATATATCTCATGCTATGATGTGGCCTTCACTGCCTGAGTCAGGTCACCGGGAGGGAATGTGGAAGGGGAGAGCAACTGGGAAGCAAAAACTGGGATGAAAACTGTGATCCTATACAGAGGAGGGCTCGTGGGACTGCAAACTGATGATGGGATGCTCAGGGGAAGGGCAAAGGTGGGGGAAAATGGAGAAGGGGCATGGGGTGGATTGGGGAGGAAGAAGGGTGGGAAAACAATGCAGTGCGGCACGGGGTCCCTTGTACCATCCCTGAACCCCATCTGGAGAGTGGGGAGCAGGAGAGATCGAGAAGAAGAAGGGAGAAATAGGGAAAAATGCCAGGTCTGGGAGTGGGAGCAGGAAGGCTGAGGGCTGGGGATTCTCTGCTGGCTGGAGGGGATGTGACTGATTTGTGTCTGTGGAGCATTGGGTCTCTATGTATAGGGACAGAAAAGTGCTGTGTCCTGCTGGGCACTGCTCCTCTCCAGCCAGGAGGTGGACTTGGCTGCACGCAGGTGTTGGACTCATCTGATGCAAAACAACCTCAACTGATTCAAGCCCTCATCACCCGTGAGAAATGTGGACCTGCTTTGCTTCGCCCTCATCCAGGTTAGCAATGCTTGTGCTGTTCATTGGCAAAGCACTTATGGGGCACTGTGTTGGAGAATATAAAAATATTGGAGACCTTTCCTTCTCTTGGCTTTTGAGACAAGATTAGCCCAGCTGCAACCCCCTTTCCTCAGTCCTGAGCTCATTTCCAGTGGCATTTCCAACATCCACTCTTCCTCTCATATTTTCAGCCTGCAGTGCATGTCCATAGCCTGGTGTCAAAGGCAGAAATCAGCGTGAAATGCTCTCAGTCCTCTTTTTCAAAAACTGTATTCCACGTAGAAAAGGGAATTTGCTTCAGCTGCTACAGAGCACGTGCTGAAACTCCTCTGCCTTACTCCAACTCGGTTGTAACGTACCTTCCACCTTAAAAAAATCTCTGTCTGTTCATCAAGGAAGAAGTACACAGTGGAGCGCTCCGCAAACACTTGCTGCCAATGGGGGCAGAGGCTGTCAGCTCTGTATCTGCATATCAGCTGTTGGATGGGAATAAAACTCCCTCTTCTGCCCTAACCTAGCTCTAGTCCAAGCTCCCAAACGGGCGCAGAGCTCTCATGGCGCTTTGGGTGACTCTTCTCTGTACCTTGATAGCATCGCTGCTGGGTGGGCTTTACTTCCTGGGTGCGTTTCGGAGACGGAGACCCGATGAGCCACCTCTGGACAAAGGTACGATCCCCTGGCTGGGTTACGCGCTGGATTTCAGAAAGGACAGCTCAGCGTTTCTCAAAAGGATGCAGAGGAAACACGGGGATATTTTCACGGTGCTGATCGGAGGTTACTACTTCACCTTCGTGATGGATCCCTTCTGCTTTGGAGCCATCGTGAAGGAAGCAAGATCTAAGCTAGACTTTAGGACTTTTGCGTCTAAACTGGTCCTGCAGGTTTTTGGCTACAAGCCCATAGAAGCCAACCACAGCATAATTCATGCATCGAGCACAAAGCACCTGATGGGAGATGGGCTCACTGTCATGACACAGTCCACCATGGAGAACTTTCATAAGCTGATGCTCTTCGATCTGAGCTCAGGAGAAGGGAAGGGAGTGTGGCAAGAGGACGACCTCTTCAACTACTGCTACAACATCGTCTTCAGAGCCGGGTACCTGGCTCTGTATGGCACTGAGCCACACCAAGGGGCAGATAATAAGGAGAAAGCTAATGAGCAAGATCGCATCCACTCCGATCAGCTGTACCAGGAGTTTCGGAAGTATGACCGTCTCTTTCCTCGCCTGGCCTATGCTGTGTTGCCTCCCAAGGACAAAATAGAAGCTGAACGGCTGAAGAGGCTTTTCTGGAGCATGCTGTCTGTGAAGAAAAGCTGGCAGAAGGACAATATCAGTGGGTGGATAAGTGACCAAAACCAGCTTCTGGCAGAAAATGGTGTCCCCGAGTACATGCGGGATCGTTTCATGTTCATGCTCCTCTGGGCATCCCAAGGCAATACAGGTCCAACTGCCTTCTGGCTTCTCTTGTATCTAATGAAACATCCAGACGCCATGAAGGCTGTGAGGGAAGAAGTGGATAAAGTCTCAAGGGAGAACGGCCAAGAAGCGAAGCCAGGGAACCCACCAATTACCATCACCAGGGACATGTTAAACCAGACTCCTCTTCTGGACAGTGCTCTGGAGGAGACCCTGAGGCTGGTTGCAGCCCCAATTCTGGTCAGAGCTGTCCTCCAGGACACCAGCCTTAAGATGAGCAGTGGGACAGAGTACACCCTCCGCAATGGAGACAGGGTGGCTCTGTTCCCACACGTCTCTGTGCAGATGAACCCCGAAATCCACCCCGAGCCTCACGAATTTAAGTATGACCGCTTCGTGAACCCAGATGGCACCAAGAAAGATTTCTACAAAAATGGGAAAAGGCTGAAATACTTCAACATGCCTTGGGGGGCAGGAGTATCCATATGTCCTGGGCGCTTCTTCGCTACCGCTGAAATTAAACTGTTTGTGTTCCTGATGCTGAGTTACTACGACCTGGAGCTGGCCAATGGAGAAGAGGAGATCCCAGCGATAGACGTCAGCCGCTGGGGATTTGGGACGATGCAGCCTGTCCGCGACGTGCGGTTCAGATACCGGCTACGCTTTTAATGTGGGAAGTCCTTGTTGCATTGTTAGTCCTGGTGTTATCTGTGAAATAAATTGCATGATCCTATGGTTATCAGATTTGTGCGGTGACAACACCGATACGATCTTGTTTGCTTAATGGTTATCGTGGCTTTTCTCTTTAACTCCTTCACATACATCGCTGCTCTGTGTCTCTGGTTATTGTGGTGGTGGGTTATGTGATAAAAGCTCATTTGCCCACCCACAGCGGAGTGCAGACACACAAATAAAACCCTGCCAAGCTACTCCCAGCCCCACTCTGGGGGCCATCAGCCCATCAAAAGCCCATCTGCGCAAACCCAGAGGAGCCCAGGAGCATAGTGGCAGGTGGGAACCCAAATTATGGACTTACAAGGAGCAAGTATTTCATCCAGATCCCTCCCAGCAGAGCCATCAGCCCCATGAAACCCATCAAGATGTGTCATCAGCAGCATCTCTCTCCATCACCATCTCTACTGAGAGGGATTGCTGTCAAGGGAGGGGACGCATCTTATGACGTGCAGGGGAAGAGCATTTTGGGATTGCACAGGACTTATGGTGGGATGTTTAGGGGAGGAACCAAAAGTGGGAAAAATGAGAGATTTAGGTGATTTGGGGAGGAAAACAGAAGGGTAAGGAGATGAAAAGGGCTGGTTATGTGTAAATAGGCCATAATAGGTCCGTACACTCGATTTGGGGAGGAAAACAGAAAGGTAAGGAGATGAAAAGGGCTGGTTGTGTGTAAATAGGCCATAATAGGTCCGTACACTTGCCTGGTCACACCCTGTGTCTGATCAGCACAGGCTGTCCTGTTTTCTTATTAAGTTCTTTAATTTCAAGATGTGACTATTGGAAAGTGCCATCGTTCCACCAAATTTAGACCTCATTCCTTACAAAGGCCCGTGGAAGCTGTAAGAAACAGGATGGGGGTGATGGGAAGGGGCTAGGAAATCAAAGTGGGGCTTGAGAAAACAGCTCCCTTATGGGCTACAGCCGCCGTGACCTTATGAGCCCCCAGACATCTCTGGTTTATCCACCTGGTCCAATGAAGGATAACAT